TGACAAGTTCTGCTGTTTGTTTTTGGACAGGTCCCGTGAAACAAATTAACATATCAATTATCTAAATCAGTTACTCAACTGTGGACCTAAATTGCACAGCTTACAAAAAAATTAAGGAGTTATCCGTAGAGTGCTCGTTGATTTGACTCGAAGTTTCACGCAAAGTTGACCTTACTGTGAGTTTCTCCCTAAGGTAACGTGTGCACTTAAAATTATTAACTTTCTAAGTAGAGATTATTCTTCGAAAATACGAGGGCTTTGACCAATGCTTTTTCTGTTTGCTAGAACCAGCAGAAAGAAAATGAAATCTGCAATGGTCATGATGCAAAGGAAACACCCGAAATATTTTTGGGCTCTCTTAGAAAATTTTAAACACACGTAATATCTCGTTTCCCTACACAATCAGGATCAGAAGCAAGTGTTTATCTACTTATAAATATGCTAAAGAAACGCCGCCCTTACAGATGTTTCAGCTTTGTGTTGCTACCAAAGGCTCCAGCCGGCAAGCTCTGCAACTTGTTATTGGACAGGTCCCTTGAAAAATATCAACAAATCAATTACCTAATTTACTTGACTGTGAACCTGAATTGCACAGCTTAAAAAAAAATTTATGACTTGTCTGGAGTGGTGCATGTTTACTTGACTCGGAGTTTGATGTACAAATGAACTTACTATGGGCTTTGACCAATGCTCTGTCTGTTTATTAGAACCAGCAAAAAAAAAAAAACCCATTAAATCTGTAACGATTATGATGCAAAGGGAAACACCCGAAATACTTTCTGAGTCTCTTAGAAAACTTTAAACGCATTTGATTTTCCCTAAACAATCATGATCAGAAGCAAGTGTTTATCTTCTTATGGACTGATTTCAATGCAGCCCTCAGAGGTAATTCTGTCTCACTTTGTGCATCAGCTTTAAGTGAATTCTTTCCCGTGAATATAGAGATCAGCTCCCAAGCTCATTGGCTTGAACTGGGTCAAACATAAAGGAGCGTTTCACTAGATCTTCAGGGTCAATGTACTGACATGTAGGTACAGGACCTACGGAGGGTGCAGTGGGGGCATCCACACCCACCAATTCGCTTAATAATGAGTGACGGTTGCAAAGAGAGTT